TTAAGAATGATCACTCACGAAGAGGATAACCGCTCAATTTTGCACTAAAAAACTGATGGTTTAATGAAATTGGTGTCGATGGTGCACTCAAATGAGGGAAGAAGCTAGATTTGCTCAAACTAAATTAAGAGATAATTTTGTCATGCTCCCAATAATTGACAACTTCATTGTCTTTGATATCGAATTTCCTGATGCATCACACTTCTAACAAGAAGACTCTCTTTCTCTTTTTTTATTTTACCATTTTCCCTAGATTTAAAGAATAATCAGGCTTGATTTCTTCTTTCCCTTTTTTCTCTTTTCTTCTTCATTTTTTGCCAACCCATTCAGGTCTGTCTAGTGCCAACAATTCTAAAACAAGGGATAAAAGGCTTAAGAAACTTAAACTATAATAGGTATTGGATGCTTGAATCCATATTTAAAGCTTTATTCAAAATTATGCTCGTGTACTCTTATTTTTCCTCAATCAAACATTCTCGTAATCATAAATGAAACAAAGTGCTCTTCATGTCTTTTAATACTATGAGTTGAGCACCCAGGTGATCAATGAGGACTTTATTATAGAATGAAATGTAAATGAGTAATGCTAAAATAAAAACCAAGAACGGATGTCACTATAAAACAATATCTCATCGATTTGATCATCACATCTGCCCTAGTTTTTTTTTCTTACTTATTCTTCTCTTTATTCTTTGTAGCAATTGATTATTCTAGCTTTTCTTTGAGACTTCCTTTTTTTCTCCTTTTTTTGCAAAAAAAAAAAGAAAAACTTGTTGAGATTTACACACCATTAAACATATGACATTTGCCTTTTAGGAGGGTTTATTTGAAGGATTAGTTCCTATAAAGGCTGAAAGAGATAACTAGCAAAATGAATAATAAAGAAGATTTGACAAAAAGGGATAAAGCAATCGGCCAAAAGATGGCCTCCCATCATTTCTTCATTAAATGCATAACCCATAGGAAAGAACTACATGTCGAGCACAATTTGAGTTTAACCAACTCAAGGGTATTTATGTCATTTTACAATTTCCACACTTAGAAATTTTGAGGTTATCTGAATGAAAGTGATTCTCCCCCCCTCCTTTTCTTTTTCATTTTTCTCTTTTCTCTCTTTTCTTTTAAAATTTTTATAGCCCTTTGGAAAGAAGCATCTTGGAACTTTGCTTGGTTTAACAAAGAAAAAGGTCCAATGAAATCAGCTCAATAGGCTAACTAGCGATGTTATCAATGATCGTGACATCTAGGGAATAAGCGGTCGATATGTCGTCCAATCCTTTCCTAGATTCATCAGCAAAGCACTAGGTAAATACGACGCTTACATTCTATGCTAGTTCAAGAAACATATCAAAAAAAGAGTGCATACCCCCTTGCAATGATTTCAACCTTATGACTACCCTAGTTTGAGCTATCAATGATGGATTTATTTGTGGACATAGTTGGGAATGGATATTATTATTTTGAAATGATAGAATTACCCCCATCTCCTTAGACATTTCTATCAATGGGCCATCAATTAACAATCATTTTTTACAAAGTTATGCCTTGAGGCCTACTCATGCATTCTTCTCAAGGGAAATGGCGGTTTTATCTCTTTCCTAGTTTGGGAAGTCCCCTTCTTTAAAACACATTGCTTTTTTGGAAGCACAAAAGGCAAAACAATAAAATGAAATAGCTAAGTAAAGTTTTCATTAATTCAAAATATGAGTCCTCTAATGACCATATTCGTTTCTAAACTATAAAAAGGTAAAAGCAAGACATAAAGGAATAACTGAAAAGAAGTACTAATACAACAAAAACAAAGGCAATGAGATCTTTTAGCGCATCAGCTTCTTAGGCATCGGTGGTGCCATGTTTGGAATTTCCCTAGTGGGATCAAATAAATCTCTGTCAATGAGACCTTAAATAGAAAATTTCAACGCCCAACAATGATCGGTTCTATGCCTAGGCCCCCGTGATAAGCATAAAATAATCTTCATTGTACTTCTTCGGCTTTGGTACTAAGGTGGTTTCCATTTTAATGGTCGAAGATATCCCTTTGAAATAAGGAATGGTAACAATTGAGCATGAGAGCATGGTAAATGGGTGATGACCCTTTTTCTTCTTTTCTTGTGATGGTTAACCATTTTGAGGTATTTGGGCTGGAGCAGAGGATAATGCATATGATACCGGTTGGGAAGATGATGGGTAGATTGGAATTATCTGGGATGGGATCGAAATGACAAGAGGTTTCTTAGCAAGTGCACCAGATGAACATCCATGAATTGGTGGTTGGTGGAATGGGGATACCAGTTGAGGTGGTGATCTAAAGACAGCGGGAGTGGGTGTAGATGTCGCAAGGGCCGGTAGGGACAGGTGCACCTAATGAGGGTATGTGAAGTGAGTTTGCTCTGAATTGAGATATTAGCCAATCCATCTTATAATCCAAGGAAACCATTCTTTGCTTGAACTCCTCAAACTCTTGGTGGGTTACAAACCGATCATTAGCAGGAGAAGACATTTTTTTTAATAAGACACCAAACCAAAACAGTTGAACTTATTATGCAAAATGCAAAATGGATGAAAATAAGAACACTAATAGATGATTTCATAACGAAGCCTTCATTAAGCAAAACTGAGTAATTCAAGAATTATGCCACTTCTGCTATTTTCACTAAAGAGCATTGGCAACATGTCTAAAACCTTTGACTTAATCTCATTATGTTCTTTCCTTTCTTACATTCCTCTTTTTTATTTTCATCCTAAGGAGCATTGAACCTCGAAGAATGAATATCACATGCATGAAACAATATGAAGGGAAAACCCATGTATGTATGTATGTGTGTGTGTATGTGTGTGTGTGTGTCATTGGTGAAGTGAATGAAATATAAGAAAACATGCTATAAATGACATGGCTAAGGTAGGGTAGGACCTATCAAGGAGGCAACCTAGGGTTGCTTAACAAGTATGAAGAATCTTAGACCTAAAAGATTAGATTATGAAATTTCAAATGATTATAAAACTTTCATTTTTATTTTACTATTCAGGTTGAACCCAAGTGCCACTACTTAGGCTGCCTATGTACCCCTCACGAGGGATTAGACCGAGTGTAGTTTGGGTTATTTACAATGTTTAACACAAAGCAAGGAATACAAAATTAAAAGAATCAAAACATGTGATATGCTGCTAAAGCTAAAGGGTTCCACCGTTGATAGGATTTTGTACTGCAAGCTAGAGAGGAACACACTGGTCAACAGGATGACCTGGCATCTGATGATAATCACAGGACACATTCAATTTGAACCCTCGAGGGAGCGGATTTGGAACTGATCTTGGCTAAAGTTGAACCAAATGTCTTTCTTGTATCAGGCAAGGAAGTAACTGAGAAAGTGGCATCGAGAGAGGAGTAAGATTTCTCTTAACCCTTCTATTTGATTGGGAGGGAGTAGTAGGATGCTTATAACTCGACTCGAAGGTCTAACTTTTTGATAAGTAGCTTGTACTTCATTTACTTCACTAAACGGTGGAGGGATTATAGTCGGGCCGCGGCTTCCCGATTGAAAGTCATGCTCAGTTCTCTTACCAATAATGACTATGCCCTTGAAATCCTGATATTTCATGAACGTTGAGAAAGGGCAGCTCTAGGGTGCTTAAAAACAACTCAATCATTTCTTTCAAAAGGATGGGAGTCTTCAACTGAGCAGCAATAGATCTCCATCAGTATGCATATTCAACAAAACTTTCTTTAGGCGCTTTTTATATGCCTTCTATTGCCTCTCTTGTTGGAGCCAAATCTATGCCATAATTAAATCGTTCCAAAAAAGCTGTGGCCACCTGATTCCAAGTCTTCTTCTTATCTACTTCAAGTGATGTGAACCATGCTAGTACTTCACCCTCCAAACTTCGCTAGAAAAGGTGAATAAGGATCTTCTCATCTACTCCAAGCTGAAACATCTCTCAATAGTATGTACTTTGATGCACTCTCGAACACCTTTTTCCGTTATATTTCACAAACTCTAGAATTTTAACACCTTTTGGCAATTCTAACATCGAGTATATGCACAACTCATTAAAATCTAGTGTAGGAGGGGGCTGAGTGTGCTTCAACTCTTTTAAATAAATTGATTCTACTATATGCCATATTGGATTCGGGAAAGATCCTTTGGGCTGAAAATGGAGAATGGTGAAACTAGGATGAAGCTTTAGACCTTGAGGTTGAAGGACGACCAAGGTATCGATGGTAGATATGGTGGACAATTCAAAGTAGAGTATTCTCTTTTAGGGGGTGCAAATATCTCTGTTTCTTCATTGATCACTTAGTAGAAAAGAGAAGAGGGAGTGAGGAGATCGCCACCTCTTCCTCCTTGGTTTCGAGCAAGACAATGGTGAATAGTGAATTCTTGAGAAAAAAAAAGAGAAGAGGAAGAAGAAGAAGAATAGAGGGTCCTGGGCGACGATGGAGGAGGAATAGAGGGTTTGCCTCTACACCAAATACCAGACCCTCATATCTGAGTTCCTTATCTAAGAGATATGCAAAAACCCTTTGGGATCTAAGAGATATCTCATATCTGAGATATAGGTAGAAACCCCTTTACCAAAACCACTTCATCTTCTCCATTGGAAGCAAGTGCGAACTAGCGGTAGTAACCTCTGGAGATTTCCAACAATATTAGAACTAGTCTATGTCCAATCTACCCAAACTGAGAAGGACATTTTTACCATACAAGGATATATTAGAGATTTTCAAAAAATATAACGCTCATGTGATATCACATGTGAACGGTTTAGATGGAATGTTAACGTAGGAAAAATTTTAGGTAATTGTTAGAAATAAGGGTAGCATTAGCCAATTTTCAAACTATAAGAAATTTACGCAAGTATAACATGGTCATGGGTGACACACACAGAGTGACGGAGGGAAGGAAAACGAACAGGTGGTATTGTGGTAAGGACATTAATGTCATTACCTAAAATACGGTGGGTTTTATCGTAAGTTAGTTCGATATTAGCATTCTTTCGCTGACTGCCGTCTTTCTACCTTCCGCTCTATTTCTCTCTCCAAGTTTTCATTTTTTTCGCTCCATTGGTTGCTTGCTTTCTCGCTCGGCTGTATTATTATTACCTCAGCAGCAGCAGCAGTGCTGTTCTTTGCTGTTTCTGTAAGAACTGTTTCTTTGATAATACATTCATCTTCATTTTGGTTTTTTAGGTCTTTGTGATTCTTACAATGGTTGTTTGTGTATTCTAGGGTTTGTGAGTTGAGTTGAAGAGCACAATTGTTTGTGTGACTCAATTTTGAGTTTTCTGTATTAGGTTTTGACGTTTTGTTTATCTTTGAAGTTTGGCTGGGATTTATTAATGGTGTTTGGAGGTCTAATTCGGTTGAAGTAGTGGGAGAAGAGAGACGACATCTGGTTGTCGCGTGCTTCTTTTGATTTTCTTTTTGGGGCTTCAAATGTTGATTCGATGCCCTTTAATGCTAATTCGGATGGTGAAATTTGGTCTAAATAGCGATTCAAACAAGGAAGAACTGTAGATACTTGTTTGAAGATTTGTTTTTTGGTCTCAATTCTAGTTTTAATGGTTTCATAGTCAAACAATTGGAACTATAGCATGTGTCTTTTTCTGTGTCAGATCACGTATCAAGCTCTAGGTACCTAATCGACCCAAACCATGTTGCAACTTTTGTCTGGGTGTGCATGCCTCATAAAATGACTTTAGTCTGCTGGTTGAACCTGAAATTATGAAAATAATCATATTCGTTTCTAATATTTTGCTTAGAGATATTGATTGTCAAGTTCAATTTAAAACATAATGAACTCATCTTCTATCTGTTACAAGGTATGCGTATTTCTTGTACTTCGAAAATTGAAAAGAAAGTTCTGGATTTTGAGGGAGAATTGATCTTTTTACTTTCTAGTTGGATGTTTCCTCTACTTCTATTAAGTTTCTGTTTTTTCATCAGTAGTATTAAGTTTCTGATTTCATGACTAAAATAAATCATCGCCACTATCTTTTAGCAACTTGGCGCTGTCATTCAATGAATGTATAAGTTATACATTCATAAAAAAAAATGAATGTATAAGTTATTTAATTTTAATGAAGCAAGGTATTATAATTTTGTTTTCCCATTTAAAACTTTTTTTTTCAAAATATCCTGCTTTATTTTATAATTTTATTTTATTTTTGTTTTTTTGAAGTTTGTGACTAGATTACTGATTTGATGTATGAGTCTACTCAAATTGAGTTAGCTGTTTGAGATTTGATTGACTTAGGATTTTTGTGGTTTAAAATGCCTAGGTTTTAGTGTTTAACAGGCTATTTTTTCTCTGGTAAATGGTAATGAAGTGCGTATGCAGGGAAAGGTTTGCTATCTGGTTTGGTAACTGAGATTGACTAAATCATGTAGGAATCCTCCTCATGGGAACTTAATTTGGGGCTCAGAAAAAGCCACTTTATTCCCTTCCCTTCATTTTTGTTAATGGAAAAAGCTTTTACCCTAAAATACTTTGCCATGTGTTCAAAATAGATCTTCTTTTGTTAAAGAAAATTAAAACTATGAACAACTATTATCAATTGGACAAAATTCAAATACAGGGTTGGGTATGGTCCTATTAGGCTTGTATGGGCTATGTGATTGAACACTTGGACAACTCAGTGGGGTTCCTTTTTCTGATGGACCATCTGGATCTGCTCCTGGATCCTCTCCATGGCACAAATAGGTGAGAGCAGGGGTGTTGGGCTCATATTGATGGAAATGAACACTTGGTCAATCTAGTGGTTTCTCTATTCGATGGACTGTCTGGGTTGGTGGCAAAGGAGTCTACATGACCCTGGAGCCTTCCATCTGACCGTTGAGTTTGGGGCCTAAAAAGACTTCCATGTTCCTCTCTTTTTTTCTGATGTCTTTTAAAATAAAATTTTGAAAAGTTAATGGGCTATTAGTTATGGAGCAAAACTCCAATTTTGAGGTTCGGTGGGGTTAATTTGTACCTGAAGAGTGAATCAGATCTGGATTGGTCACAGGCAACACCTAGGTGACAAGGTGCCATGGTGGGTTGCCTTGCTTAATTGCCTACCTATTTTCTTCATGGCCATATGAAATATTTGTATATTCTTTAGTTTTTGAGATTCTAATAATAATATACATACTAAACTAAAATATTTATTTTATGGGTTTATATACAGATTTCTTTTTATTATCTTATTGCTTGTTAGGGTTCAGTCATTGAAAATGCAGGCCCAACTCATGTAAAAACTCAGGGTGGGTTTGTAAGGCTCAGGTTAGCATGCCCAAGTTACATCGCTACCTTTCTTTTCATCTTTCCTTATGGAAAAAGGGGGCTCAGCCCCTATGTTTTTCTAAATTTTCTTTTCTTTCTTTTTCTTTTCACGTATATGTTGATTTTCCATGTTTTAATGTGAAGTTTATACTTTTTTATGAAGATTATAGATACTTATTAGTGAAAGATGGTTGCTGGTTGCTAAACCTAGGAAACTACCCTAGATTCATGTTATATATTTTATAAAAATCCACCACCCTTGTTACCTAGCCTCTTTGGTGCCTTGGAAAACTATGGAAGCTTCCTACTTGACCTGATTACAGAATCCTATTCCATTTATACATCATCATCATCATCATCACCATTATTATTATTATTATTATTTTATTGTTATTATTTGTAACTGTAATATTTCATATGGCATAAGAGTTCAACCTTCTTTTTGATATTATCATTTTTGTTTCTCTTAGGCATTAGTTGTTGATACTTGCTAAATTTATTAAATTGTTTGTACTACTTGAAGTTTTGCCATTTCTCATTTTTATTCATTTTTTTGCAAATTAGTTTGTTTCTTGTTCAGGCTATTACTTCTAATTAACTCTCTTGCTTTACAAGGTTGTGGAATACCTTTTCATTTGGACTAAAGATGGCCAACAGTCCAGCACCATTTTCTGATATTGGCAAGAAAGCAAAAGGTAAGATGAATTTTCATTCAGACCAAAAAGTGATTTGATTGATGAATTGCCCAGTTATAATGCACATTGTACATGTCAGCAGAGGTTGACTTGATCCATGGAGCACATTTTATTCATTAATTTTGTTTCAATGTGATCAATATTAAAGGTGTTTTTCTTTTGGAGCAACAATAGCAAATCAACTTTTCATTGAGGAAGTCTATTCAGATTGCTTGTTTGAAAGAAGTTTTAGCATGCAAAGGAAAAAAAAAATGAACCAGGGTGGTACTTCAAGGAAAACTCAATTAATGTAATTCTTGTCCCACCTATATGATATTGGCTATATGAATCCTGTTCCATCTTTCCACTCTGTTTGGTGTGGTAAGTCAAGTTAACACAACCTAGCAATCAGTAGAGTGATGGGTCCCCTAGGTATTAAAGTGATTTATAAAAGAAGGGGTTCAAAGTCTAAATTGTATTTTTTTTCATAATAAAATAAAATAAACTTATATTTATAAAAAAATCTTAAAAACAAACAACTAAGGCCTTTGTGGCCAAAGGGAAAACAAACAACTGCCAAGTTTCCTCTATTACACACTTGAAAAGTAAGATCTCAAGAACTTTTAGGGAGCTTTTTGGCATGTGGAGAGTGCCTTGTTAGGGGATGATTAGCCTCATCAAAGTAATCTCTCCTATTCAGCTGCATCTGATGATTAACCTAAAATGTTTTGTTTTTTTGATAAATAAACTAATGAAGCAAAATGTTCCTGTATTGCATTTTTCTTATCTCTAGTTTTTGTCTTATTTATTCGTATTATTGAAACAATTGTTTTCTTCTTTGCAGACCTTTTAAACAAGGGCTATAACTTTGACCACAAATTCACATTGACAATGTTGAGTGATGCTGGAATGGTATGTTCTCATTTGTATACTTTGCAAGGTGGTGGTAATCATGGATTTCAAGACACCATGACGAGGCTAGGTGACAGGGGCACTTTGTTGCCTAGACGACTTTTTAATGTTATTTTTAATAAAAAGCATGAATCCTAGGGTAATTCCCTAGGTTCCATAGCAGCTAGCAATCTTCTGCCACTTAATTATCAATTAGCTTCACAATAAGCATAGAAAATGAACGTATTTTTTGATTGGTAATTGTTAACTATATTGATTTGAAAAAGAATTGGATGTATTTACAAGAATGATGAAGTGCCAAGCACCCCAATCACCCCAAAGTGGTACTTGTGCTCTTTTTCCATCCCCCAAAGTGTTTTAAATTATGTTACAATTAAGACCCATTGTAGATAATCATCATATTCATGAGAACCATACTGGAATGAGAATTCATTTCAGCTGCTTCCGATTTCGATTCCTGTCTGAACCAAACACGCGGGAGGAATAGACCATTCTGATTCCAATTCTGATGGATTTTGATTCCCATTCCTACTAAGAGCCAAATGGACCCTAAATGAAATTGTACTCAAACAAATCATGCCTAAAGAGATCAGTTATTTCTACCTGAACACAAAATTCTTGAAGAATGCTGCATTATGACATACAAATTCATATTAATATAACTTCTTAATTAAAGAGACTACGAGTCTCCCTGAACAGAGTTCCTAATGAACAATACTGTAAGACATCTACATTCTATTACAATACCTCTTTCTTTCATGTTCTCTTTCAGCTGAGCCATATGATACTTTTATGTTGCAGGCATTAACAGCTACTGGTGTGAAGCGGGATCAACATTTTGTTGGTGACATAAGTACACAGTACAAGAGTGGATGTACTACTGTGGATGTAAAAGTTGATTCTGGTTCTAATGTAAGGAGGGGACATCCATTAAGCTAACTAGCTGTTTGAACTAGAGTTTTGATGGCTACTTGTGCTTCTTTTCATTCTCATCACATTCATTGGTGAGCATTTACTCAATTATGTAAATTCTTTTGTAAACCAAAAACTTTGATACTTTGTAGGTCTCAACTACTGTGACGGTCAATGAAATCTTCCCATGCACCAAAGCAGCACTTAGTTTCAAAATACCTGATCACAAATCAGGCAAGGTTGGTACTTTACAAACTTATGAAGCAATTCATCATGTGTCTATGTTTCTGCGTGTCTTTGGTTTTGAATTATTATAGGGTTTGATATAATCTCAATATTGAACCAATAAAAAATATTATCTGAATAATGGACAAAGACACAGGGTAATGTTTCTATAATCTACTGTAGTCTAGTATGTAAACTTCTGAAAACCATGACATATCTATATTCTATGTGAAATATTTTGCATAGGCCTCAACTACTGTAACGGTCACTGGAATATTCCCATGCACCAAAGCAGTACTTAGTTTCAAAATACCTGATCACAAATCAGGCAAGGTTGGTACTTCAGAAACCTATAAAGCAATTCACCATATGTGTTAATGTTTCCATGCGTCTTTGGTTTTGAATTATTATAGGGTTTGATATAATCTCAATATTGAACCAATAAAAAATATTATCTGAATAATGGATAGGGTAATAGCTGTATAGAACAAGCACTATGTTTCTTTAATCTAGGTAGTATGTAAACTTCTAAAATGGTGTTAGAAAGAGATAAATAGTGTGTGTCCATGGGTGCTTTGTAGCTTTAAACCTCTGTTAGATTGATTAAGGAGGCTTCTTGTATGAATTGGTTCATCATATAAAAGAAATTTAATGCAAGTAGCATGGGAGACATTGCTTGGTGCAATGATAAAAAAACCAAAAGTTAGGCCTACATCATTGTAATCCCAATACTTTGGATAGCTGGACCATCATTAGGTAAAATTGGGAGAGAGGTCACCACTTTGAATGCCTACTTTAAAAATACTTCTCTATATCTATTCAAGCCCAAAATTACCTGACTCAGGGTTTGTCTTTAGCAAGTTATACTTGAGTTGTCTGGAGTTCATCCCTAACCATAGTCCTATAGCAATACTAATAAGCCGTATATGGTAGAAGCTACTTTTGTTGGGTAGCTTTTCTGCTCTTTAACATTCTATGTGGAAGAGGAAGGGAAAGAAGATTGTAGAGTCCACAGTATCAAGGTGATGAAAGAACCAGAGTCTAATGATACCTAATTAATGTTGCAACTATTATGTTTTTTTCTATTTCTTCCATCTTTGAATATAAAATTGAGCTCAATGAATTTTCTTAACAATCCATTCATATTTGATTTGTCAGCTAGATGTGCGGTATATTCATCCTCATGCTTCTATCAATTCTAGCATTGGATTGACTCCAACGCCACTTCTGGAGCTGGCTGCAACAATTGGCAGCAAGGAGCTTGGTTTTGGTGGTGAAATTGCTTTTGATACTGCTTCTTCGTCTTTGACTAAATATAATGCTGGAATTGGCCTATTCAAACCTGATTTTTCTGCTGCACTCATATTGTAAGTGGGCGTTTAACCAGTTTATTTTATTTGTAGTATCATACCCTAGTTACCATGGATTTGGTCTTTGAACTGCCATGAATATTTCATGGTATTGGTTGTGGTTGCCTCGTCTTCTGGATGAATATCCTGTTATGCCATGCATTGGGGAAGTTCAGCTTTCCTATTTCCTTATCCATGAAGAGAGGAGGGGGTTCATGTGATGATGGTTTATGTGGGAGGTGGAAGACCCAAATTATGTAGGAGAGGAGGGGATTCTTGGCCCCAAATTATGTCAGTAATAGTTCTTGATATTTAAGGGATGGACCTCTTTATGTGCTTTAGAACTGTCCTAGAAGCAAAATCTAGACAATGCTTCAGATGCGTGATTGTTTTATCTGTAAGGTTCATGTGATAGATTTTCGGAATGAATCTCAAGTTCTGCTTTTATCAAGTCAAGATTCTTTTAGACTTTCCATTTATTAATTCTGACGTGTTTTCTGCAACATTGATTATTATCTATTTAGGGAGGACAAGGGGGAAACATTGAAGGCGTCTTATGTTCACTTGGTGAATCCCATCAATGGAACTGCTGTTGCTGCTGAATTGACTCACAGATTCTCCACCTATCAAAACAGTTTTACCTTTGGAAGTTCTCATTCCCTTGACCCCTTTACCATGGTGAAGACACGATTCTCTGACAATGGAAAACTAGCAGTTCTTTGCCAGCGGGAATGGAGGCCCAAATCGTTGGTAACTTTTTCAGCTGAGTATGATCCCAAGGCAGTCAGTTCGGCCTCCAGGTTTGGTCTCGCCTTAGCACTCAAACCTTAAAATTAGGGATACTCTTTTTATGTTTAATGAACTTTTATTATAATTTTTTAAACCCGAGGTGGGTTTTCACTCAGTTGCTTCGAGAAACAAAGTTGGTTTATGATTTTTTTTTCCCTGAAGAAAAATGGTGGGAGAAGTTGAACCCAATTTTGGATGAAATTCATATAGTGATTGTTTATTATTTTTTTGCATCCGAAACTGAAAAATTGCTACGTTTACATGATGTGCGATGCATATCACGAGATATCTTTGTTTATGACACTATTGTCATTCCAAGAATCATGTTATTGTAGAAATATTTGAGTTCTTTTATTGTTTGCTCAGTAAGAACCGTGTCTTTAGGCCTATATGATCTGAGCAGAGACCGTGTCTTGTTGTCTTTCAATTTGTATTCATTTGATAATTACATTTATCTCCTAGCTATTGAAATTGGAGCAACCTGGATGGCTGGGGAAATGTTGTCCAATAAGAGCAAACCTAGCGTTGGAGGGTCAGGATAGTTCGTGGGGTGGTTCTCCAATGTGTGTATGTTTGTGTGCAGTGTGCATTTCTTGTTTTGTAGAACTGAAGTACGAAAACATAAGATGGGTTCTTGGTTATTTTGGTTTTCAAAATATGCTTTCCTCTGCTGTTTTGATATTATGTTTTATAAATCTTACGATAATCAGATAGATATTCTTAATAGATCTTAGCATATTTTTTATTCAATTTTCTATTTATATTTTGTAAACCAAAATCTATTTAACTGTGGATTCGTATGGCCTAGGATGATTTCCTGTACATAGTATGTATGGTAAATTTCGGTGTGGCACTTTAAATGAGAACTAACAGAGGTAGTAGAAAGGTGGAGCAAATTTTGTATCAATTACAGCTATCGAAGTTCAGCTAGTCTGCTCTTGTGCAATCAGGTAGGAATGTAAATCATAATTATAAACAAATGAATGTAAAATTGACCCAGGTACAAATTTTATACCTGGTCAAGATTTGTACTGTGATCTAACTCGGTCTATGGGTTTTCGTTAATTTTTGACCTGGCATAATTTAAAACCAAGAAAACCAAAAAACATTCATGTTGGATTTCCGACTAGAGTGTTTGCGTTTGGAGTTGAAGGAATTCTTTGTTCGAGTTCCTTAGGTACTGTTGCGCGAAAAGTGGGTCGATGTGTCTGATGCTTGGACAAGAACAAATAGAGGTGTCAATTGGACTGGATTTGGTCCAGCCTGATCCAGTCCAATGCGGGTCCACTTACAAATGGACTGGATCCAATCCAATATAAACCAAATCTAATCTAATCCATTAAAATGTAAATGGACTGGTTTGAATCCAATCCAAACTGAATGAAATATCAAAAATTATATATAAAAAAATTAGAAAAATATATTAAAATAAAAAAATCTAAAAATTACAAAAATATACCCTTTTGGCATTGAAAAAGCAAATTTGTAAAACTGCTTTCATAAAAGTACTTTGATAAAAGTACTTTCATAAAAGTACTTTGATAAAAGTACTTTCATAAAGTGCTTTTTATAAAAATACTTTCATATAAGTGTTTTTATAAAAGTACTTTCATACAAGTGCTTTTGTGAAAGTACTTAAAGTATTTTCGTATAAGTGCTTTTATAAAAAGTACTTTCATAAAAGTGTTTTTGTAAAAATGCTTTTATAATACTTTTACAGAAGTGCTTTCGTAAAAGTACTTTTGTAAAAGCGCATTCATGTAAAAGCACTTTTGTGGAAGTGCTTTCATAAAAGCACTTTTGTGGAAGTGCTTTCATAAAAGCACTTTTGTGGAAGTGCTTTCATAAAAGCATTTTTGTGAAAGTGCTTTCATAAAAGCACTTTTGTGAAAGTGCTTTTGTAAAAGTATTTTTCATAAAATTACTTTTACAAAAGTGTTTTTGTAAAAGTACTTTCATAAAAGTGATTTTATGCCGACTTCAATTTTGATCAGTTTCAAATTGGAAAAAATTTGGGCCTCGTGATCGGATTATTGGAAATTTGGTTTAAGTCTAATTTAGACCAATAAGAATATTAACCTTGATAAGATTTGGGTTGGATTGGAGGTACGAAGGACGACACATAGGTGGAGAAGTCGATGCCATTAAGAACATGTTGAATACTTGCGACGAATTGAAGATGTTTCAAATGGTAAGAGATCCTTGCAAACCCCAGCACCCTCACACCTAATAAAAAAATTGTAGTTTTAGTAAAAAGAAAATAGGTCAAGATACGGAACTTGAGCTCTTTACATTAGAACAACAATGATAGTTGTTATTCAAGTTTAGGATTGGTAAAATTCATAGTTTGACTAATATATTAGTGTAGATGTAAAATGAAAGTCAAGATGAGCATCATTCATAACACTCCCCTCATGATTCCTTAAACTAAAGATGAATGCAATTAGACAAAAACCTTCCAATTGGGTCCTTTTGCTCTTGCATCAACACCATCGCAATTGTTGGCTATTACTACTGATGATGTGCAATCTGATGCTTTCAATTGGAGGACAACTTGAATGTTGGGCTAGTGAGTTCGCCAAGTCGAGTTACAAAAGAATAGTAGAAGAGTACTCGGGTTGCTTGTGGTGGGTACTCTGATGCTTAAGTCAGTGAAGAGTTTTGAGAGAACTAAAAAGTGAGAAAGGTAAGAGCCGTGAATGCTAAATCGTGCGTACCTTCTCTAAGCATTGGGATGCCTTTATATAGGCATAGGTTGTCGTGGGTTTCACGTTGCATGCCTAAGAGATCTCTGAGGAGATGTGACTTACTAGTTTGCCCCGCTTGGAGGCAGTTTTCCCGTAAAGCGATAGAGCTCATCCGGTTGCTTCTGAAGTGAGAGAGGCGGGAGTTAGCTCCGTCGATGGGGCGACATGATATTGGAGGATTCAAAGACGATAACCCACTCATGACTTACTAGTCTGACTTGGTCTTGAGATGGTCAATCTGGTCCAGCAATAGGCAACCTAACCTTATGATGATCGGCCTGGTCCTACGATAGGCGACCTGGTCCTGTGATAGGCGACCTAGTCCTAAGATGACTGACCTGGTCCTATGATGGGCAACCTGATCCTACGATGGCCGACCTAGTCTTGCGATAGGTGACCTGGTCTTGCGATGAGCAACCTGATCTTATGATGGCCAACCTGGTCTTGCAATAGGCAACCTGGTCCTATGATAGCTAATAGGCGACTTGGTCCTGAGATGACCAACCTGCTCTTGAAATTGCCGACCTGGTCCTGTAATGGGCAACGTAGTCCCGTGATGGATGACCTGATCCTATGATAGGCCACTTGGTCCTGTAATGGGTGACCTGGTCCTGAGATTGCCAACTTGATCTTGGGCCAAGGTGCCTACAAGACGATGTGTTAAACAACAGTTCAAGGCTGCCATGTGGCACAATGTCACTTGAGGGTCAAATCACCCCTCATCCACTACCATGGAAATATAGACTTATCGTTTACTATGTAATGGTCAAAGGCCCCAAACTTGAAATGGAAATCAATCAATCCAAACATGTTATTCGTACAAGGATGAACAATATGTTTGCTTACAATCTCGATGGGGTTGGCCTCTATTTTAAATATTACATCATCTTTAATTGTTTTCTTTAGTCAAAACCATTGAAACATAATCTTTCTTGACTGAGTTTGAGTGTTGTATCTTATAGGTGGAGTCGAATGCAGGCTAGAATTTAGACCGAAGAAGATTTCTTCTTTGCTTTTTCCATTTTCTATTGTCACTCTGTTCTATTTATGAATTATTATTTTTGTTGAGACAAATGGGTTTGGTAGAAAATTGTTAGACAGGAGTTAAAAGCTACAAATGGTAGTTTAAAAATATCAAGACATTAGGGTAAGTGGCATTTTTCATTCAAGAGACTATGCGGAATCTTTAAAATCTTGATTTGATGTGGTCTGATTTAAAGAGATGGTTCTAAGGAGTAGGGAAATCCAAACACCATTTTTTGTTTTTGTATAGTCAAAACACATTTCTTAGGGATATTTTACCAATTGCATCTTTTATTTCTCAAAAATTGAAAACAAGAGAAACGTTCTGAAGCAGGAATTTTCTTAGGCTGTGTTTGGTTGCAATGCAAATAAATTTGTATTGATGCAAAACCATGTCACTACAAATGATGAGTGTAAATTTTGACCTATTTTTGTTTCAAATTTTAGCTTATTTTGTTTGATTGTAGTACAAATGAAATAAATTAAGACATAAAATAGAATAAAGTAAAATCCAAAACAAAATTAAACAAGAATTTGCATTTTTTGCATTTGCACTCCCATGCATTTGTATTGGTGCAAATAAATTTACACTGCAACCAAACACAGCCTTAGGAACAGAAATAAGTTTTAAGTAGGGATGATGCCAAATGGGGCCTTGATATTTAAAACCCTTTCTTATGATCAGATTAACCAAACTTTGTCGTCTCTTGAAACAACAACACTTACAGCGGGGTAGGAATCCTTGTGCATCACATTTCCATTTATGAGCAATGTAGGATTCGGGAGTTGGGACAAAATTCAATGGTAATACTCACAATTGAGTGTTGTTACAAGTCCCACATTTCTCAATAATTGGAATGTAGGTCTTGCTTTAAATCTATAAAAGGATAAATAAGCAAAGCCAAACAAAGTCTAAGAATCAAATGAAGTTCAATGTTCATTTTTTGTGCAATAGGTTCCAGTCAAGCTCAGCCCTAGCTTGGGCTTGTTCAATATTTTTTTCATGTATTATACATTATTTAATTCAAAATTCTCTAAATAATTAAAATTTTTCATTAGGCTTGGAAAGCCTGTAAGATCGACCTAGACCCTATTGGGCTGGGCCTAAGCATAGGCAGAAGCCCTTATCATTGGTTTTAAACCCAGCCTGGGCCAGGCCCAGCCCGGCTTATGATCACCCCTGCATATAATAGATTGGCCAACAAAGGAGTGCTCCCATCTTTGCCTCTTGCAAATTACACCCTGCAGTAACCACAGTGCCTAGAGGGAAAGCTGAATAGCAACTCTGCTCCTCTGCACTTTGAGGAGCAAAGCAGGTCACACACCTTACAAACGGGTGTTGGAGGAGGATCCAATTTACCTAATCCAACCTCTATTACCGTCGGTCCATGTTTTCAAATATTGGTTCTCATTTATAGGGATGGCAATCAAGGTTTTTAAAAACGAACCGAAAACAGAACCGGTCAGGGGACCAGTTTCTGGTTAAATGGTTCAACCCGTGACATCATAAAATAAATTTAAAATAAACAAATATTTATAAATAGTATAAAATTAAATAAAAACAGAAAAAAATACAGTAAAATACAAAAAAGCAAAACTATCTAAATAAAAAATAATAC